TCTCATTTGATAACATACTTTTTCTTTTCTAGATATTTATGTCAGCTCTAGACAATGACGCACGTGATTGGTTTCTGTATCTCGACAATGTCCAGCAAAAAAACCTCATTTTTGCTTGACAGTCTACCAGCAACTAGTGAGGCGGATCATTAATGTAAATCAAACCACTACAAGAAAATGTTAAGTGTTTCTTATAATATCTGACTATTAAGTTTTACGTATAGCACTAAAAGCATATAATATTCGTTGTTTGTGTGTAATTGTCCAAACTGCATGATATTTTCAAACCGGAGCACATAAGCAATGCAGTAGTCCCAAATTTTGGATATTTCAAGGGAAAAGGAATGGTACCGAGTGTGGTGTGCACGTGATGCGGTGGATGCGCTATAGATCCAAAGATCTGGATAGAGTGGTTAGGATATCGTCAACCAAAAAACTTGCTTAAATTTGTTTTTTAGTTATAACGAAATGTTATATGTCATAATGCAGATAGGAGAAGAACGCAAATTACCAGCTCGAAAGGGGTATGGTATCTGGCTAAACATTTTGGAACTCGTGTATGAGAAATTCTTTCCAAGCATGTCGTAGATGAATGCGTAGAACGAGGCAAATAGAGAAAGAATTCAAACAAAAAAGCAAAGAAAGTTATCATTCAGTTACAATGTTACATTTTTTTAGTTCTGGTGATTTTCTCCACTAGCAAAAACAGTCGACCATTACCATAAAGAGGTCGACCTATATGTGCACAAATTTTGTGTATTTTTCCTTGTAAAATTAGGATTTTGGGTATCTTTGACTCTTTGGGATAAGTGTTCCACATCTATTAAGTATAAGGACGTGCTCTGTCTTCGTCGCTGGGCACCGGGTATCCAGGCGTTGAAGATTGATTATTCGGCGGTACCAGTTTGGGTCAAGCTCTCGGGATTGCCTTCGGAGCTCTCGTCAAAGGAAGGACTGGGAAGGGTTTCGAGTTTATTGGGTAAGCCACTGTGTATGGATCAACCCACTAAGTTTGGTACTAGATTGGGGATGGCGAAGGTGTGTGTGGAGATTAGTGCTAAGAAGAAGTTGATTGATAAGATTAGTATCATACCTGATGGAATGGATGAGATGTTCATCTCGGTGGAATATTGCAGATTGCCAAAGCTATGTACTACTTGCTGTGTATTTGGGCATGACTGCTCTGCTCCAGGAACTAGCAGTAATAATGTTAAGAAGGTTTGGAGGAAGAAGCAGCTCACGACTGTGGTTTTGGATTCTGAGAAATTCAATGAGTCTGTGGGGGAAGAGGTGAGGGTTGAAAGCACTACAGAAGTTAGGGAAGCAACACCAATTGACAGAGCTAAAAAAGTAAGTGAAACGCCACCAGTTACCCCAAGTGCTCTCCCTTCTCAGGAAGAGTTTAATACTGTTGTTATTGGTGTTAAAGCTGTTCAGCCATCTGGACAACGAGCTCCTATTGTTTTACACAACTCGTTTGCAGCTATTTGTGCGAAAGGGATACCAGTCACTCTGCAGCCTGCTCCATCTAAGGGTAGAGAGGGATTAAGAAGTCAGAAAGGGGCCTTGGTCCCTCCCCTTGTTAAATGACAGTAATTGTGTGGAATACAAGGGGATTTAATTGCCCCTTGAAGCACAATTCTGTGCTGGGTTATGTTCGTAGATTGAAAGTTCAGGTTTTAGCTTTGTTGAAAATTAGAGTGCAGAAAAATAATGCAGATAATATAAAGAGTAAGTTTGCGGGTTTTACATTTGATGACAACTACAATAAGCATCCATTGGGAAGAGTATGGATTGGGTGGTCAGATGAGGTGAAGTTTAGGGTATTGGAAAGGGATGTGAATTTTATACATTCATTGGTTTCTATTTCTGGGAAGGAGCAATTTTTCTTTATAGCAGTTTATGCTTCAAATGATGAAACAGAACGTGCTGCTACATATGGTCGACTGGGGAGATGGCAAGTTAAGGGTTTTCCATGGCTTGTCTGTGGCGATTTCAACTCAATACTCAATCCAGTTGAAGCATCAAATAGAGTAGCTATATCTCCTAGTATGATTTCATTTAGAAACTGGGTTGAGGGGATGGATTTGGTGGATCATCAGGCGTCAGGCCCCTTTCACACTTGGTATAATCAACAGAAGAACAATCCGATAGCGAGGAAGATTGATAGGGCTCTGGTTAATGATGACTGGCTTACTAAACTGCCATTGAGTGTTGTGGAGTTTCTGGCTTCAACTTTTTCTGATCACTGTGGAATTTTTGTGTGTCCGACTGTGAATATGAAGAGTTTTCCGAAGCCTTTTCGTTTCTTTGAGATGTGGATGCAACATAGCAGGTATGAGAAGATTATGCAGAGTTGCTGGGGTAATAAAATGGCTGGTTCGCACTTATTGGGTATCAAACAGAGACTTGGTTCATTGAAACAAGAGTTGAAGAAGCTTAATAAGGAGGAGTTCTCGGATATTTCAGGTAGAGTTAGGGAAGCAGAGCAAAAAATGAAAGATACACAGTTGCAAGCCCTTAATGTGCCAGCAGAAGAGACTTTTGAGGAGGTCAAGCAGGTAACTTCAAGTTTTAAGAAACTGCAATTGGCGGAGGAAAGTTTTAATAAGCAGAAGTCTAGGATCCAGTATCTGACTTTGGGGGACTTGAATACTGGCTTTTTTCATAAATCAGTGAAAATAAGACAAGCGAAGAAACAAATAAGAAAACTTCGATTGGAATCTGGGGTAGTTCTAACAGAGGCTGAAGAGATTGCAGGGGAGGCTGTTAACTTTTATAAAGGGCTGTATGGGGTGGCCAACACTGAGATCAGACCAGATAAATTGTTTTTAGAGCAATATGTGACTAAAACAATCCCCCTCTCTGATAAACTGGATTTATGCAAGGCTGTTACACAACAGGAAGTCAGAGATGCTTTATTTACCATGGAGCCATCTAAAGCTCCGGGACGTGATGGATGGTCTGTGGGATTCTTTCAGAAGAATTGGAAGGTTATTGGTGAGGACATCTATAAGGGTGTTCTGGAATTTTTATGTGAGAAGAAGTTTCCAAAAGGAATGAACACAGCTTCCCTAACTCTTGCTCCAAAGGTACCTACTGCTGACACTTTAACTGCTTTTCGCCCTATTGCTTGCATTAATGTGATTTACAAGATTATAGCTAAGGTACTAGCAAATAGGATTCAGCAAGTTTTACCAGGTGTAATCAGTAGGAATCAATCAGCATTCGTGAAAGGGAGAAGTATATTGGACAATATCTTAATGGCACAAGAAATGGTGCAAAACTATAACAAGAGAACTGTGGCCTCGAGAAGTGCAGTTAAAATTGACTTACAAAAAGCCTTTGATTCTGTTAATTGGTCCTATTTGTTCGATGTGATGGACCTAATGGATTTCCCAGGGGAGTTTGTGGAATGGATTAAAGCTTGCTTAGAATTTGGATATTTTAGTATTTCACTTTATGGATCACTGTTTGGTTTTTTCCCTGCCCAAAAAGGGGTGAGGCAGGGTGATCCCTTGTCGCCTTATCTATTCACAATTGTGCTTGAGCCTTTATCTGGAATGTTAGATCAGGCAGCTCAGACCAAGCGTTTTCCTTATCATCCGCAGTGCAAATCAGTAGGTTTGATGCATCTCTGCTTTGCAGATGACCTGCTGATTTTCACTGAAGGGTCTGGAGCTGCGTTGTTAGTAGTGAAACAGATTTTGGAAAGCTTTTTATATGCAGTCTGGTTTGAGATGTAATCCTCAGAAGTGCGAGGTATTTTTTGGGGGAAAGGCAGTAGTGTATAAGGAGAATGCATTGCAGGTTTCTGGATTTGTGGAGGGGCATTTACCAGTGAGATATTTGGGTTTGACACTGATTGCTGGAAGGTTGACAAGTAAAGAGTGTGCAGTCCTAGTAGATAAGCTCACAAGTCGAATAAGATCATGGAGAGCGAACTCTTTATCATATGCTGGCAGGGCTAAAATAGCTTGGGAGAAGCTTGCGTTGCCAAAGAAGGAAGGAGGGGTTGGTTTTAAAGACCTCCACTCCTGGAATGCAGCGTGTTTGGCCAGACTAATCTGGCTCCTACTGATGAAAGGGGGAAGCTTCTGGGTGGCATGGATTTATAAATACAGGCTAAAAGGTCTCACTATCTGGGATCTGTCTCTTTCTTCTGTGGGTTCATGGATCTGGAGAAAGTTATTGCAGCTGAGGGGTTGGTTTCATATCGAATGTGTGTCAATGCTCAGCATGAAGTAGTTTGGGAAGGAAAGATTATGATCAAGTTTAAGGTGCAGCAGGTGTGGAACTCTATTAGAACAAAGCATGCGGTTGTTCCATGGTGGAAGTTGATTTGGAGCAAGTATGTGATTCCGAGATACAGAATCAATGTGTGGATGATTATTCTTAATAGAATAACCACTCGCAACAAGCTGAAGGAATGGGGCAGCATCACAGATGCAAGATGTCTTCTCTGTTTGAATGAAGATGAAACTAGATGTCATATATTCTGTGAATGTCAGTATAGTAGGGATTTATTTGGGGAGCTATTTGGCAGGATGGGGATAAACTGGCCAGATGATTGGGATCGTTTTCTGCAGGTGGCAAGTAAAGAGGATGCGAGGGGTATTCAGGGGCACTGTTTCTCTATGTTATGGTGTTGGTATGTGGGTCTGATATGGCAGGAGCGATGCAGAAGACACTTTGAAGGAGTACAACGCTCTTGGCAACAGCTGTTTGTCCAGATTAAGAGAGATGTGTTGTTTGTTTCGATGGGAAATAGTCAATTTTGTAATGATATGCAGGTAGTTTCTTTTTGGAGGGACTCTTTGTAGATAGGTTACGGTTGTTTGAGCTGTTTAGTGGGCACTTTTTGCTCTTGTATTTTTGACCACCTTTACCGTTTTGGGTAAAAGGGAGCTTCAATGAAAGTTTAATCACCGGAAAAAAAAAAGTATAAGGACTTCGTCTATATTCTCTATAAATAGATGAAGTCTTAAGACTTCCATCATTATCCTATTTATGCAGTCTGTTGGTATGAAGTTGTAATGTCATCGTCTTTTTTGTGATCGTGTATTGGTGTGCTCCGGTTCTTAAAGAGGTCGATATTATACCTAAGTGGTCGAACTTATTTGATAAGGTATGTTTTCAATATCGGTCAAAGATCGTTTGTGCTTAACTAATCATCAAATATCAGGCGACCTTATACTGAAAGAGATCGACCATATTGTGTGAGTCTCATGCGGCATGGTCAGCCAAGATTATCATGTGATCGATCAATATTAGTATGTTTATAATTAGGTCGACCTTGTCAACTCCCATGGTAGACTGAATTTGTATTATTTTGTAATATGGACTACCTTACTTTTTGCTACGGTAGACCTGGCGAGACCTAATTGCGAATTTAGTTCCAAAAATTTATTTTCCATATTGACATACAATTCTTATTCCGATAATTACATAATGGATAATGGAGATGATATAGACGACAGGGATGTTGAAGAGATTAACGTCGATGAGGAAATTGAGGATGTTCGAGGAGAAACCATGGATAATGAAGATGATATAGATGATACAGATGATGAAGATATTGGGGCCGATGAGGAAACTGGGGATGCTGAAGAAGAATTTATGGATGATGAAGAAGCTACTGAATATGAACAACAAATTCATTCCTTGGAGTTTCAAATATTAGAAGATGCAGATAAATGTTATGATGCCTATGCGAAAGCGAAAGGGATTAGTGTTCGACGTAGAGATCTTCGGAGGAATTGTCGATGAGCAGTTACAGAAGAGTCATATAGATAAAGAAGGTCGAACACGGCAACATAGTAAGATGATAAGACATTCTTGCAAGACATCCTATAATGTACGCTTTGATCGGGGAAGAAAATGTGGGTTGTTTCTAAGTTCGATAGGAAGCACTCACATCGTTGCTGCAATGAAGAAGAAGACAAGACATTGGCGATAGGGATGCCTCAGTCAGGAATAAAACAACGCAACATTGTTCAGTTCATGAAGAATAAAGTTTTAGGATATGAGAATCTGGGGTACACTCCAAATTATTTGGATAACGCTGTTCAAAAATCCCGAAAAGATGACGAAGATCTAAAAGGAGATGTAAGGAGAATTAAGCAATCTCTTTTGGTCGGACTCCACATCTAGAGCGGATTACCATTTTTTTAGGGGATTCCTTGGCATTGGATGTATGCTACAAGCGCAACAAGTACAATCGGCCATTTGTTATGATGGTAGGTGTAAATCACCACCACCACAACATCATATATGGTTTTGCCCAGTTGGATAATGAGACAATATCCAACTACGTTTGGATGTTAAATACTTTTCTGGAGTCTATGAACTATAAGATGTCTACTTCCGTGATCACCGATGAATACAAGCTATGTGTGGCACCATTGCTACTGTACTGGCTGGAGTGCCTCATCGACTGTGTATTTGACATATTGAGACAAATGCAACTATAGGTGTTCGTAATAGAGAGTTCGTTAGCGCATTACCCACTTGGCAAAAGCACGTATATCAATTGAGGAGTTTGAGAGCCGCTGGGAGCGTTTGATAATTGAACATGTGTTGTCTGCAAATAAGTGGTTTCAATATTTGAATGCTAACAAATCACTTTGGGCAGAGGCATACTAGAAGGATATTTATTTTGGTGGCCTCCAATTAACATCGCGATCTGAGTCATGTAACCATTAGATAAATGGGTATGTAGGAACTCAATACAACTTGCAACATTTTGTTCATGGCCTTGGTGAAGCACTGGAGGGGATGTGTTACACGCAGGCGCACGATGATTATTCTTCTAGGCAAACGAGGTTGGTCTGCAACCATGCCCTTCACACATGGGAAATGCAAGCTGAAAGTATCTACACACATCGTACATTTGCTATCTTCAAGTGTGAACTAAAGAATGAATCTTCTTATGTGTTAGAGGAGACAAGAATTGAAGCAAATGGGACAGAGACATTGGTTCTGAAGAACTACATGGCCCTAATCGGAGACGGAGGTTAACATTTACTACGACCAATCAACATCTAAAATGTAAGTGTGCATTGTTTGAATCTAAGGGATTTCCATGCAGACATATACTTACAGTTATAAAAAAATTAGGGATTTACAGCACTACCCTCCACGTGGTTCAAGCTTCGATGAGCCCAAAAATGCAAAGACATTATCTTGTAATCTTTGAGTTGGAGTTGATGTGACAGAGAAAGTTGGTTGAATGATAAGACATAGGGGATTGTCACTGAAGTGTAAGCGTTTGTGTGAGATCACGTGTGATAGTGAAACTACTTATAATCATCTCTCTAAGGAGTTTGTTAACCTTACTCAATTGTCAATTGAGTTATCGAGAGATAAAATGGATACCACTGTGATAATTGTCGAAAACATATTGATTTTGTGTGGTGAATGCAATTATCTTAGGATATGTTTGAGATATATAATACTTGTTTAAGACCAACTAACCTTGGAATGGCTATAAAACCATTACCGCAGAGTGCAAATATTTTATATGTTTCGGTTAAATGAAATGAAAAATTGACATTGCTGGATGGGATAATTAAGGTGGACCGGATGGGTATCATGGATTCTTTGATAACAAAGCTTAATTCCCGACAGGGATAGCTAGCACATTCGTGATATCCTGACTGTAGAGAGTTGGATTAAACTGATTAGAATATGTCAATTAATTTGGATATGATAGGTAGTGAATTCCGGTGTTTCTCCTAGAGCTTTCTCCATTGAATTTCTCCCGACAGTTTTCATTTAGTTACTTTGTTTAGTTTATTTTGCTTTTAGAAATTAGTCTCATGAACTATTTTCACTTATAGTTTTCTCATAAAATTGATAGAACTTAAGGTTGTACCAGTCCCTGAGAGACGATACCCGGATTTTCGGTTTTACTACAAGATAGGAATTGAAGCATTACGCTTTTGCCCTATCACACTGCACCTGTAAACCCTCCAGTACCCATTCCAAGTGTGAAAGACCCAATAATTGGGAAGACAAAGGGAACATTCAAATCAGCACGAAATGCATCGGGGAAAAGCATAAGAAAGTGTTTGCAATGTGGGAAATACGGTCATTTTTGCCCTATTAAGTGTCTGAAACAAATTCCTAAAAAAAGAACATGAATTTTTTGTATTATTTGGAGTTTATTTTTTGAACTATGATTGTAGTGTTTAATTTTAGGATCTGTGTGTTTTTAAATTATCTTCATAATATAAGCATATGTTATTTGGTTGTTGAAATTTTCTGGAACAGAGTAAATAGTCGACCTGATGGATGGCTCTGTCGAGCTAATGGAAATAGGTCGACCTTTTTGTGAACATGGTCGACTGCTTCCTTATTCTGCTGCCTAGACCGAATTTGAAAACAAATCCAGTCGAACCCTAAAAAACTACAACTTTTACTCCAGTATGCAGCAACATCATCCACCACTCATTTTTTTATCTTCACCTCTTTCTCGCTTTCTTCTTTCCTCTCCTTTCTCTTCTTCTTCTACCACCAAAAAATCCTAGAAGAAGACCAAAAACCTCCAACAAACCACATTCCCAGCTGCTCATAACCAAAATAAGGTATGTTCTCATCTATTCTTGTCATTTGGTTTAGTTTTGTTCGTTCATGTTAGAATAGCATGTTTTTACCAAACTCCCAAATCTGTAAAATCGGATTCTGGCTGATGTTCGACAGAATCGGTCGATCGCTTCCTTTCCTGATCGAACGACTCTGTTTGGATTCAGATTTGTAACTCTTGATTTGATTTGAAACCCCCAAAAGCTGTAAAATCATATTTCTGGTTGTTGTTCGCCAGAATCGGTCGCTCGCTTCCTTTCCTGGTCAATCTGCTCTATTTGGATTCGGATTATCATTTGCAATTCTTGCTTTGAAACCCCTATAATCTGTAAAATCGGATTTCTGTTTGTTGTTCACCAAAATCAGTCGACCGCTTCATTTCTTGGTCGACCGGCTCTGTTTGGATTCAGATTATGATTTGCAACTCTCGATTTGATTTGACCAAATTAGGTTTTACGGTTCGTCGGGTGTCGATGAGTGCTTATGGTTGCAAAAATAGGTCGACCTATTATGTTTGATTTTTTCGATCTGAGCAAAGTGTGTTCGTGTTTGGTTGATTTTTGCTTATGCTTGGTACAGAGAGGTCGACCTATTCACATTGAGGTCGACCTATTTACATTGATTTCGTCGATCTTAGTAAGTGGGTTAGTGTGTGGTTTATTTTTTGCTTCTGCTTGGTACAGGGAGTCAACCTATTTGCATTGAGTTCGACCAACTTTATTGTCGGTTGCTTCTGTTTGGTACAATTTGGTAGACCTATTTATAGTGAGGTCAACCGGTTCTGTTGTCCTTTTCCTAATGTGGATTCTCGTTTCTTTGATCTCAAGATGGATAGAGGAAATAATAAAAAGAAAGTCATTCAAAGCAGCTGCCTCATGTTCTGAATGGGAAGAGTTCAACCCAACTCTGTTCCAGACCAAGGAGCAAAGTGACAAATATTAAAAGAGGAAAATGCACAACCGCAGGTTGGCTCTTGGAAGGCCATTGATGACTGATGCGTGCATTTCAAATATTACGGGTTTCTAACACAATTTGTGGAACAAGATTGGTTGAAGGTGATATCACTCGATGTACCATACTACCCAAAAATGGTACAGTACTTCTAAAACAACATCTTCTATCAGCGTTCTATGAATGGATTGATTCCTACTTTTAAAAGCTATGTGAATGGGCTATAGATGCGTATCATCAAAAGTGTGTTGGCAACAGTACTGGTGGCTCCAAACCAGGGGAAGAGAATAGATTCTTCCAATGCTTGGAATGAAACTCATTTCTTGAGATCTAGGAAAATTCAGATTGTATGTGGTCTTGTTGAAGAGGACGATGTTGAGGATCGTAGTAGACCGACTATTCGCCAACTAACAGTTCAAGCCACAGTTCTTCACCACATGCTCTCCTACAACATTCTTTTAAAGGGTGGACATCGGGAGGCAATCACCTGCTTTCACATGAGAAGGTGAAGTTGCCATACTTGATATTTAAACACATGCTTGCTGTTGCAGAGAGTTCAAATCGGAATCTTCCCTATGGGATGATCCTGACTATGCTATTTGAGCATTTTAGTGTGAATTTAAGTAAAGACTAAAGAGGTTGACTTAAGATTCACAAGGCAGGAGTTCTACCTAGTTACATCCCTGAAGAAGATGGGATTTGAGATGCATGATGGTGCATATGTCCGAGCATACAATCCTCATGTAGTCGATGATGATGATGATGACGACGACATAGCCACAGAGTTCATCTCCACCACTACCCTACAACATATATGGGACCGCATGGATGACATGTACAACTGCATGGGGAAGATCTCCACCCAGATCACTGACTTGTACGACTACATAGGGCAAATGACCACCCAGATGAGCGCACTGCAGGTGACCGTAACAGAGATGCGTGAGAAGTTCTTATCTTTCAGTGGAAGATACATGCATCCCACCACATCTGACTACCATGATACTAGCACCATCAATGAGGAAAATGCAGATAAGTGAGAGAGGGAAGGGGTGTAGGAACTCTATGATTTTAGATTATGTTTTTTTGTTGTTAAGTCTTGAAGACGATTTGGTTTGAAACAACTTTTATTGTGAATGATCAGAATAGTCAAAATCCCGATTTAAATCCTAAAATTCTACGCTTTTACGATTTTACTTACCTATTCCGATTCTTATTTCACTATAAAATCTATGGACCTTAAAATCCTACACTATTCATGATTTAAATCCTTAAAATCTTAAGATTTTACGATTCAAATCTTTGAGTCGATTTACTTATTTTCCCCAGAATTTTCAAAATTATGCCTCTTTTTCTTCTACTCAACCAACATCATCTAGTTTTCTCACACTAACCACCATCGACTATAAACAATTCACATCAACGTATTAATCATTATCGATTCACCATCTCTTAACATTAACCTTGATAAATTGGAACATTAACCTTGAAAATTATCATTGTAAGTGTTATGTGCTTTTGTGTTATTCATGATTTTCCTTACTAATGTTATTTCGTCTTCATTTTTATATGGTGCTTAAAATCCTACGATTTTACGATTCCGATTTTACCCCCCATTTTTGATTTTACGTAAAATCCCGATTTTGACTGCTTTGCGAATGATATTACGTGGTTGTCAATTTTAGGTATGTGTGAACAATTATGAGGTGTGTTTTATTGTATTTTCTGTTAGTGTGTTAAGTTGTTATGTTATGAAGTTATGGGTCCTTGTTATCATGATTTAGGACTGTTTTTGTTAGTGTCAAATGTAATTTGTACGAGCAAACGAACTACACACATCGATATACATAAGCAAAAAAGTCGAAGGTCATAGACTGATTTTCCTCGCTCGCCCCCTTCTTTTCTTCCCCGGTCACATAGAAAATAGGGACGCCCTCCGCTCACCCCTGAAACTCCGACCCTCAGTTCCCTCCGGCGACCCCGCTACTCCCCCTTCCTCTTCTTTTCCGTGCCGCGCCGACCAGAGACAAAACAGAGGCCGACCCTCCGGTGACCCCCCTCCTCCACTTTCCTCTTCTTTTCCCCCGCCGCGCGCCATAGCCCCTAACCCCGAGCCATCGCTTGCTCTGCCTCGCCTTCGCCCCTCTGCATCGACTTCGCCTCCTCTCCTCTAAGTCGTCGGTGCTCAGAGGCATCGCTGGGCTCAATAAACCTCACTGTCGCGCGGCGCCACACGACCTCGCTAGCCCTGCCTCTGCCGTCTCATCCCCAATTCAAAAATCCAAACCAACAAGCGACAGCCATAAGTCTGGTTACCATGACTAACCGAATAAAAAATCGATAGTCGACCGGTCGGTGGTCGGTTAGCCATGTCTCTCTCACGGTCGGTGGTCGTTAGCCATGTGTGGTGTGTTGGTTTAACCGATAATCGAGTTTTTGGTTTTCGGTTAAATCGAAACCGACCGGACGCTACCCCTACATGTTATGTTCATCACTGTCTTCTTTTGATTTTGGTTGTTTCGATCATAAAATGCTAGTTTGCATATGATGAAATTGAATATACAATTATTTTTTAAAAATAATAATAATTTTTTTTTGCAACCATTTATTTACTTTTGTTTTTCTTTTTATTAAAAATTAGTTGAATCCACCAACCGTAATTGCAAATAAATTAATTTAATATATGTATAATGAAATTAACATCAGCGTGATTGCGGAAATGTCGAGGGGAAATAGCAAGGTTATTAACCCGCGGATCGACCCACGAGTCAACCCGAGTTAACTCAGACCCGGTGGAAAAAACGGGTTCCTAGCACCCGTTGAAGAGTTGACCCGTTTAAGTCAAACCTGCCTTGGCCCGGTCAAAACCCCACAAACCCGGGCGGTTAAACCATCAGCATGGGTTTCGGGTTGGAAATCTCCACGACCGCCACACCACCCTCGTTTGAACCAGATTGCCGATTGCTCCTCGTCACTGCGTCGGCTTTGCCTATCTGGCGCCCCGTCGTCGTTAACATCATAACCACACCACAAGTCGGCCACTGCCTTGCCGCCTCTAGCCACGGTCATCCTGCTTCTTCGGAGCATCGTTTGGAAGGAGAGGAGAAAAGGGAATAAAGACTAACGTCTATGAAAGAAAAAGAAAGAGAAAGTGATTGGGATATTTAGATATCTGCACTGCAACCCTAGGCGGCGAGAGGTAAAGGTGAGGGAACTTTTTTATTATTATTATCTCTTATTCGTGAAATTACAGTCTTGATCCCATAATTCAAGTTTATTAACAAAACAAACCATATAATAATTGCTTATTTGGTCCCCCGATTTTTTAAGTAACTTAAAACAACGTTTTCTTTGTAAAAACGGGTTAAACGTGTCAAACCCCGGTTGACCCATCAACCCACCACCCAGTTCTCTGGCCGAGCCGACGGGCCAATCCGGGTTAACAACCTTGGGCAATAGACATCACATTTAAAAGTGACTTTGCAATTACATTGACCTAAATAATCTTCTCCTAATTCTGCTAAAAAGATGAAAAGGATATTTACTCTACATACATGTTGTGAAGTCTCAAGTCACTTTCTAGTGATACTTTGGTTTCCAAATTCCAAGTTCCAACTAGTTAGTCACCCAGCCAATCAAAAGGTTTTCAAAAAGGAAATTCAATTTATGAGAGCAGGGGTAGTAGGGCTTTAATCAGTTAGTTGTTGTTGTTGCACATTTCATCCTGTTACACAGCTTTCCTACAAAAAATCCCAACCAGAGTTGGAAAATTCGTGTCAAAATTGTAACTCCTGCAGAAAAAAAGGATCGATGATCATTTCATGAATTGTGCCATGAAAATTAATCATAAGGAATTTGTTGATATCATCGCTGATAACTATTTCTATATGTTTTGTAAATCTTTAGTGGGAAAGTTGTTTCAATTCATTCACTGAATCCTTTTTACTTGAAATTTCGGGATGAAATACTTTGCCAAACCTAAAATATTACATTTAGAATACAAATATTTCAATTGTTGAATGTACAAACGGTCAAACTTTGGTAGCCACTGAAAATATAAATGATTGTACTATTTACAAATTAACCAACATATCCTGCTTGATGCATTTAAATCATTTTCTTAAGTACTGTCAACGACTAGTCGAGACTACACAAATCATGTATACATGTATTCCAAAAATTCTACCACTCAAACATCTTTTCTGTGAGTGCAATTGGTAATTTATAGATGAGAGCTAATGATGTTCTTTCTTCTTTCTCCTCAGAAGTGTGTACAGCTTTTGTTTCATCTTTGAGAATCAAAATCATTTGCTAGGGATAACAACTTAATACTACTCGAGAGTTGAGAGTTGTGAAGCTGCAATGTGAAATGAAAGCTCTCTGCCTTTTTATCCCTTAACACCATGGTTCAGGAAACCATACTGGAAGTCATACCGCGTTTGTCTGTGGTAGGATATTTTGTGGTACGACCGTGGTTCAACCTTTATGTACCGGTAAGATATTGTTTTTGGAATAAAAAAATGTTGTTTTGTTAATAAACCGTACCGACAGTTTCAGGATACCGTTTCCGAGTATATCGGAATAAACCGGAAAATACCGGATTGCAAACTTGAATATACTAAATAAGCATAAGTAATATAACAATCAACAAAGTGCAACATTTTAGAATCAACTACATAATCGTTCAAATGCATGTTTAGGAACGATTACAAAGTACAAAACAACCAAATACCATTCCAAACCCCAAGTTCACAACTACCAATCAATCAATATGCTTTCAATTATACTTTTCCAGTTGGTTCCTTGACCTTTTAGTTACCACTTACCAAAGTTAAATGATTACTCCCTGACTTGTTTATTTTGTTGAAACCTTTAACTTGGTCTTCGTCGAAATCTCCTACCGTCATATAACTCATGTTGAGATATGTTGAGCCGGTCATTAACCTCAGGCGATTCTGCCAAGCTATTAGCAAAACACTAGGAATATGAATGGAACCAGCATAGTGAAACTCGAGCTGGACATATATCTATGGATGGAAGTCCAGCTCGTCGAGCAGGGGAGGGTGAATAGGCACGGTGGCGACGCGGTGTTCTCTATAGGGGAGGGAGACTCGGCAGAGAAGGGAGATTGACTCGACGGTCGGCACTCGGCAGGGGAGGCAGACTCGAGTAGGGGGTGCGAGACTCGAGCTCGTCACAGATCGCGGACGGCAGACGACAGACTTCACCCTCGCCCCATTCCTTTTGTCGGTCATAGGTCGCCAGAGGGGAAGAGAAAAGGAGCGATGGGGCGGGGTTAAAATTCTGGGGGAAAAAGAAACGATCGTTTGATTTGGGTATTAGGGTATGGACTCGGCTTTTGATTTTTATTATTTTTTGGTTGAATAAAAAAACAGAAACATTTTGTGCTGCAAATAGCCTATCGCATATTTTTTCAAAACCGAGCGGTATTTCGTTTAATGCCTGTTAAACCAAAAAACCGGCCGACACGATAAATTAACCACTAACAACCTACTGTTCCGTTTCTGGTTAGGTTTCCAGTTTTTTCGGTTCAACCGGCCGGTACGATCTGGTTTCCTGGTCTATGCTTAACACTAAAAAAAAGCATAAACTCAAAAGTACAGCAAAATTGGCGGACACAGAGAGGAACCAATCCATAAACAAAATAATACTTGGTGAATGGTGATGGAGTGTACAAAGGAATCAAGGAAATTAGCTAGCAGTGAGTGAGCAGAGCAGCAGAATGCTCCCAAATCAAAGTGACCACAGATGGAAGAGGCAAGGCAAGGCATAGTACTAATTGTGAAAAAAGTTCGCATGAAATCGTATCGGAAACTAAACCAACGAGTCATCAATCGTCAAATAATACTTTAGAACTTATTATGAAAAAATTGTCATAAACAATCCTTATAGTTATCAACAATTGATTAAATGTAACAAATTGTTCATATAAGTAGATCGATTCAGTAATCGTTCCATTATCAATTGAGACGCATTTTGTACCATAAATCCAGCAACTAACATTGGCCCAAACCGCAACAAATATGAATTCCTTTGTCTGTCACTTACCATGACTCCTGAATCTTGCCCGACTGACACAGCATGAACAAGAACCGAATCCATTAAATCAATAAATTATGATAAAAGAAAGAAAGCAGAGGGATGGGGAACGGCTACTGTGCTAATTGTACAATAGTTAGCACCGCCCTAACTAAGGGAAAACTACTACGAGTTTGAATTAGTAGTGATTTAGCTTAAATGTTGTATTGATTTTATAATAATCCGTAGTGATTTCGTTATTTTTAGTAGCGATTTTTGCTAGTTAGCACCTAATCCCATCCCCAGAGGGATGCCGAGCTGAAGGAGGGAAGTATCTGTTTGAAGCAAAGCCAATTTGCCAGCTTTAGCATTCAATGAAGTTTGCTATAAAAAAAAACACAAATTCGGATCACAAATGGAAGTAACCAAACAGAGGAAGAACCTATGAAGTTCATCTATGGTTGGTGACCAAGCTTCAGTTTCCCTACTAATTTGTAATACCCACTTCACCAAATTCTAAAATGAGAATGTTGATTCGACATTTCGTTACTGACCCTACCCTGCAATTCGGTGAAACTTAAGCATCAGAAACCACGCTCGCACTGAACTCATCTTCTTCCACGGGAGCTGGCAAGTTGAGATCCAGATAGCTGTAATTTTTGTCGATTTTGGCAGCCGACGGAGGTGGAGCAGCAGTGGCTGCCGGCGGCGGGTAGAAACCACCGCCGGTGAGATGTGATCTCTTGTGCCCACCCAGAGCTTGACCCGACCCGAACACCTTGTAGCAATACGGGCACCGGAAAATCCTGTCCGCCACCACATTCCCCATTCCTCCGGAGCAAATCCGGCGGTGGGATCCTAATGCCTGTGAGGATCGGAAGTCGGAACTGTTTCATACATTTCTCGCAATTCAACTTCTTCCCCTGAATTCTGCTGCTCCTTTCCATGATCCCTTGATCTTCCTCCTCGATTTTCGCTCACTTCTTGATTTCTCCTCCATTTTCCGTCTCATCCTCTTCCTCTTCTTCAATTTCGCCCCTGTTGTAACTGAATCTGCGCTTCCAATTGACGTCCCTCGACAGCATCACCAGGCACATCGCCACGTCTTCTTCAGGGGAAGTATCGGAAACAGAGCTCATCGGTTCTTCCCCTGCCGCCGCCGCCGGCGATTCGACAACCCAACGCTGATTCTCGGCCAATCCCTTCTTCTCATCTCCGCCGGAATTCCGGGTCCGCTTGGATCGCCTCCGGGTCGGGTTCCTTGACTCGGTCTCGCTCACCCTATCCTGCACGACGGAGGAAGACCCGGCGAAGGAGAACTCGGGATCTGACAGAATCGAAGAGTTGCAGGATGAATGAAAGGCTGCAGAAGTTGCAGAAGAGAAGCTGAGTTGCTGAAGGAGGAGAAGTCCATATTGGGTAAGGATTCGCAGAAGACACTAAAGAGAAAGGGAAGAACGACGACGTACTGGAAGAAGTAAAGAGAACAAGAAGGAACGACAACGTTTTGTTTATTTTCCTTATTAGTCGTTAAGTTACTGTTTAGTTTTAATTTAAGCGAATGATGTAAGGACAGCTGGCTTTGTTTGTTTAATTGAATTCCAGCTATAAAAGCTGAAGGGAGACTCAGAGATACCTGAGCTTCTTCTCCAAATCTGCATTTGCTTTTCGTTATGGTATCAGAGCAGTACAAGCTCTAGGGTTTTTCCACCGCCTACGACACAATGTCTGGGATTCAGACTCCGCCGAACACGCCGCCGAACAATGGAACCGGTGGTAGTACATCGACAACAACTACAGGAGCAGCAACAGGTTTTCAGTTTGGGACTTTCAACCAGAACCAGCTTCAGCAGGAGACAGTGGTATTTGGTAACCCTTACTATCTCAACCCAAATGAGAATATGTCTCAATCCCTTGTTGCTGAAAGTTTCGATGGTACTAATTATGTGATGTGGAGTAGATCAATACAAGTTGTTCTTAAGACCAAAAACAAACTGGGTTTCATTGATGGGTCAATACCCATTCCTCCTCGAGAGGCAGATCTTTTTAATCTATGGGATGCTTGCAACACTGTAGTTCTTTGCTGGCTACAGAATTCAATGATTAAGGAGATAAGAAGGTCTGTGTTGAACCACACTAATGCTAAGGCACTGTGGGATGAGTTGAAAAGGCGTTATGGCCAACCTAATGCACTTAGAATCTTGAACCTGGAAGATGAGATCCAGACCTGCAAGCAGGGTACTAGATCTATAAGTCAGTATTACACAGCCATCAAAGGAATTTGGGACGAATATGTTGAGTTTAGTCCTGTTGTTCCATGTGTGTGTGCACCAGGGAATCCCATACCCTGTGCTGCTGTGGCTGCTTTTATCCAAAAGCAGGAGACTGATTACCTGGTTAGGTTCTTGAGAGGACTCAACCCTGAGTATGAAGTGATCAAAACACAACTCCTTCTGTAGAAGCCACTACCTACCGTTTCAACAGCAGTGGACGATTTGCTGCAACATGAGCAGAAGTTGAAGGCTGATAACTCTGCAGGAGGCAAGAAAGGTCAAAGCCTGGCTTTGGCAGTTGGTGGGAATGCTGGTAACAGTTCCAGGGATAGCAGTTCCAGAGATAACAGTTCAAAGGATAACAACGAAGGAAGAGGAAGGAAGTTCTGTCGATTTTGCAAAATGAACAACCATACCATAGAGGACTGCTGGAAACTGAAAAGGAAACAAGAAATGCATAAGGAAGGAAATGGCAATGGGGGGTCTTCCTCTAGTTCTGGTTCAAGCTCCAGCACACCCAGGTTTGCTGGTTCAGTCTTACAGAATAGTGGGAATGATAATGTGTCTGAGGGAAGTGTCATGAATGAGAACAGGTCATCTACTACACTTGGATTTACTCCAGAAGAGATGAATAGACTCAGGATCTTGCTGCAATCTGGTGCTGGCACTCAACCCTCACCACCTACCTCACCATCCATTAACCACCAAGCATACTCAGCCACCCTTTATCCCACCACCTTTCCCTCATTTTCAGGTAAACATGTCCTGTCTTCTTCTCAAAACAGTAAAACACAAGACCTAGCTTTGTGGATTGTAGATACAGGAGTCTCTGACCATATAGCCTGTAATCTATCCCTTTTCTCCAGTTATACACCTGTCCAGAACACTTTTGTTTACTTACCAAATTGCACAAAAGTTAATGTTACATGCATAGGGACAGTCAAATTAGATTGTGGATTGACATTGCATGATGTTCTCCTAGTGCCACAATTTTCTTTTAACCTTATCTCTGTTAGCAAGCTTACCCTTGATAACCCATATTCCTTACTTTTTTCATTCTGATAAATGTGAAATCCAGGACCTCTTAAGCCAGAAGAGGATTGGTTTAGCCCACACAACTAAAGGCCTCTACCATCTTGCCCTTCCTTCAAGACAACCAAAGCCTTCCTCACCTGTTCTTCAACACCAAGCTGCCACCATCACCTTCAACTTCTCACCACAATACCTGAACCTGTGGCACTGAAGACTAGGACACCCTAGCCATGATAGACAGTCTTTACTTAGCCATGTAATTCCTTCTATTTCTAGAACCAAGACCACTCATTGTGATGTGTGTCATTTGTCCAAACAACGTAAACTTCCTTTCCCTGTTAGCACCTGTATTGCACCTGAGGCTTTTCATTTGATACACATGGATATTTGGGGACCATTGTCAACAGTTTCTTATGATGGTTACTCATACTTTTTGACTGTTGTGGATGACTTTACTAGATGTGTGTGGGTGTACCTTATGAGACACAAAAGTGAGGTGAGGGGGTTAATCCAAGGTTTTTGCAGTTTGGTTAAGAACCAGTTTCACACAACTGTCAAAGTTATCAGGACAGATCAAGGTAAGGAGTTTGAGATGTGTGAGTTCTTTAGTTCAGCAGACATAGAACACCAGGTCTCCTGCGTTGAGACCCCTGAGCAGAATGGAAGAGTAGAAAGGAAACATCAGCACATTCTCAATATTGCTAGATGTTTAAAATTTCAGTCTGGTTTACCTTTAGTCTATTGGAGTGACTTCATCCTACATTATGTTTACTTAATCAACAGAATGCCTACTCCTATTCTCCACAACAAAACTCCCTATGAGGTATTACACAAGAAACCCCCATTTCTGGGCCATTTGAAGGTATTTGGCTGCCTCTGCTATGCCAATACCTTGGTCCATGGTAGAACAAAATTTGCTCCTCGAGCTAGACAGTGTGTACTTTTAGGGATTCCTTCAGGCCTAAAAGGTTACAAAGTCCTTGATAAACATACCAAGCAAGTCTTTTTCTCCAGAAATGTTTCATTCTATGAAACAATACTTCCCTTCAAATCATCTGATTCAACTTCTTCTTCTCCTACTTCTAATACCCCTGATCCAGTCTCAGCTCCATCTCTAAACATTCCCTTTTCCTTTACTCCTGCTCAAACTGCTCCACGGTCTCATTCATCTACAGATGATGGGGGGAATCCTGAGCAGGAGATCTCATCTACTTCAAGAACAACACCAAGTAGTGAACACTATACCTTCTTTGATTCAGATCAACAGGAACTGTATCCTCAAACTGATGCTGACCCTGATCCCAGCACACAGGATAATAGAAGGCCCTCAAGACACATAAGACTGCCAACCAAATATGGTGATTATGAATTGGACTCTTCTCTCAAATTTGGAGCATTTGGTGGTACAAACTCTTGCACCAGGTACCCAATCTGTCTGAATGTTGATTCCCTAAGCAAACAAGACAGATGTTTTGCACTGAGTGTTCTAAACCTAGTGGAGCCTAAGTCTTATTATGAGGCAGTAAAATCATATGTGTGGAACAGGGCTATGAAGGATGAGATGCATGCCTTAGAAGAGAACCAAACATGGGACATAGTTCCATTACCACCTGGAGTGAAGGAAATAGGGAATAAATGGGTCTATAAGATCAAAATCCATCGGGATGGATCACTGGAAAGGAGTAAAGCAAGACTAGTTGCTAAGGGTTATACACAGGTATATGGGATTGATTTCCTAGACACATATTCACCTGTGGCTAAGATCAACACTGTGAAGACATTCTTAGCAGTTGCAAGTGTAAAACACTGGGTTCTAGAGCAGTTGGATGTTTCCAATGATTTTCTACATGGAGATTTAGAGGAAGTGGTTTACATGAAGCTACCCCTGGGTTTGGAAGTACCTTCTGGAAGTGGACAGAAAATGACTTGTAGACTGAAAAAGTCACTATATGGCCTTAAGCAGGCATCAAGGCAATGGTTTGCAAAATTGACAAGTTTTCTCTTGAAGTTTGGTTTTTCTCAATCTGCTTCTGACTATTCTCTTTTTACCAAGTGGACACATGGTAAGATTACAGTTTTATTGGTGTATGTTGATGATATCATAGTGGGAGGTGATTCAAGGAAGGACATTGAACAAGTGAAGACAGCACTGAGTAAGGAGTTTAAAATCAAACTCCTTGGACCTTTGAAGTACTTCTTGGGACTGGAAGTGAACAGAAATGAAAATGGACTGGATGTGTGTCAGAGAAAGTACTGCATTGACTTATTGAAAGACACAGGATATCTGGAATCTAAGGGATGCAAAACTCCAATAGATACCAAGGTAAAGTTGACATCTCAGGGCACTTTACTGGAGAATGCAGAAAGTTACAGAAGATTAGTGGGAAGGCTGCATTATCTAACTATAACCAGACCTGACATAGCCTTTGCTGTCCAGCAGCTATGTCAGTACCAAAAGTCTCCTTGCTCAGAGCATATTGAGGCTGCTTGCAGGGTCCTCAGATACTTGAAATCATCTCCTGACCAGGGTATTCATTTTGGCAATCAAGCTGAGTTGAAGTTGACAGAATATAGTGACTCAGATTGGGCAAGCTGCCCAGACACCAGAAGATCCATCACTGGATATTGTACTATGCTTGGTTCTTCCTTGATAACCTGGAAGACAAAGAAGCAAACAACTGTATCAAGGTCCTCTTCTGAGGCAGAGTACAGAGCACTGGCTCATCTTGTCTGTGAAGTGGAATGGCTGAAGAGATTGTTGACTGAGTTAACAGTGGAAGTTCCTCTACCTATAACAGTGTACTGTGACAACAGATCTGCTATACACATAGCAGAAAATCCCATTTTCCATGAGAGAACGAAGCACATTGAAATTGACATTCATGTGACAAGGGAGAGGATCAAGACTGGTTTGATTGTTTTGAAGTACATCAACACAGCAGAGCAACTTGCAGATATATTTACAAAAGGTTTGGATCGATTCAGGCTAAGAGAATTGCTTGTCAAGTTGGGGATCAAGTTGATACCACCAACTTGAGGGGGGGCTGACAGAATCGAAGAGTTGCAGGATGAATGAAAGGCTGCAGAAGTTGCAGAAGAGAAGCTGAGTTGCTGAAGGAGGAGAAATCCAGATTGGGTAAGGATTCGCAGAAGACACTAAAGAGAAAGGGAAGAACGACGACGTACTGGAAGAAGTAAAGAGAACAAGAAGGAACGACAACGTTTTGTTTATTTTCCTTATTAGCCGTTAAGTTACTGTTTAGTTTTAATTTAAGCGAATGATGTAAGGACAGCCGGCTTTGTTTGTTTAATTGAATTCCAGCTATAAAAGCTGAAGGGAGACTCAGAGATACCTAAGCTTCTTCTCCAAATCTGCATTTGCTTTTCGTTAGGATCCGCCACCCGGAAACTCTTCGTCGGGTTCTCTATTAACCCATAAACCGCATCGCAGCCACCGACGAACCCCCCAGCTGCTCCGCTCTTGACAAATTGCTGCTCCACTTCCAGCTCCTCGTCTTCTTCTTCTTCTTCTTCTTCTTCTTCGGTATAGGAGATCGAGGACGACGATTCAGTTGCCGGATCGCAGTCCGGTCGACGGCGGCGAGTAGTGGGAGAAGAAGATTTGGGAGGAGGGATACTGAACTTGGGCAAGTGAGATTTCATGTGGCCACCTAGGGATCTTCCATTGGGGAACACTCTGAAACAGAGCTTGCATTTGTGCCTCTCCATGAGCTCCCTTCTGAGATAAAAACAAGATAGGAGAAGATGGAAGAAGGAAAAAAAGGAGAGAGAGACGAGATTTTGTTGGGGACGGGAAGTTAAAAGGAGTAGGTGACAAGCATTCTTCAACCAAAAGTACAGAATTTGACAGACCCAAAACTTATGAGAGATTTTGCACATTTGCAGGGGAGGGATAGAGAGAGTAAGGAAGGGAAATAAACTAACAATAACCCAAAGAGATTGTTATCCGTCGCCCTAAATATTTTTATTCGTCGTTCTAATTATATTAAATTTACTCTAATGCCTATAATTATCCTTCAAATTAATATGAACAAGAGGGTTTAAGCTGCCGTCGACCAAAAGAACAACCGTCGTCCATTACCAGAAAGCGAAAGCAGAGGCGAAGCCTTATTCCTTTCATCTGCTCATCAAACACTAAATAAATCACACTATTTGATTATGTTTACAAGGATCAACAATATTTATTAAAAAAAAACCAGTTCAAAATCGCCTAGACACCAACTTCGGCTATCGCCGGGAGGAAGCCAACCAAAAAGAAAAAATTGTTTTGATGTGCTGCGTCTTCTTCTTCCTTTTGGCGGCGGATCAAGGGTTCGCCGTCCTCCTGGTCAACAGCAACGACAACTAGCGGCGGCGGCGGGAAGCGACTCTAGTGGCAGCAGCGGTGACGGGAGCAGTGATGGGGTCGGCGGCGGAGAGCAGTTTTGGGCGAACGGCGGCTTTGGGGTTGGGGACGATGGTTTAGGTTTGAAGTTAGGGGTATATGTGTCAATTTAGTATAGTTTAGGGCGATTTTTTTTTAATTTTAGGGCGACAAATAGCGATTCAATAACCCAAATCAGTTGTACACCTAGGGGTCAATTACATACCGGGTCACTCACTTTGATTTTTAACCAACTTGTCACTAAAATTTAAGATAACAGTCGTTTTATTAGTATGTTTGTGTGCGTCAAGTTTTTTTTTTTTTTTGTCGGTTATGTAGATCTTCATAGATTGAAGTGAAAAAACCACTTTAGTGATACACTGTCTAAATCAAACTCATGTCCTACTTTAGTAATTCACCAAATGAAACCTAGTAGTTCATCAAAAGATTTGTGCGGTTGTATTTCTGTTATAAATTTGGATGAGTCGATATGTTCATATGTACACTTTGAATTAAAACTTGAGAGATGGGACGAAATTGAATATTGATGAGGGCTCAAATGACAACCAATGAATTATAGGTGCAGGGGGACCAATGAGAGATGATATCAAAGATAAGATGGATAGATGGCTTTTCTTCGAACAAGGGCTCCTGTACGGCGCGTCAATGGCAGAATTTCGTGTGATTTATCATGGTTTAAAATTTAAATCATGCTAGGAAGCAAGGCTGCAAAACTCTTCTATGGCATTTCAGCTTGTGAATAGCAGAACATACTCATTACATCCCTACTCTACACTGCTTGCGGCTATTCCGAGAAACCTTAGTCAGGATTAGTTGGTGATCTCTCATACGTATCGTAAAAGGAGCAGAGTTATAGACTGTCTCATGAAGCTCAATCTCGTATGTCACGAAACGTATGAGTTTGCAACTCCACCTCATATCCCTCACCTTTGATTTCGTCCTCCCCTGTATCTTTCTACTTTATTTCTTTCACCGGTGGCCTCCTTGTCCTTGTAAAAAAAATGTTGAAAGCTTCACTTTGAATTAAAGCTCAACGAAGATGACAATAGTAACTATGATGTTCGTAATTTAAAACTTCAATTACGTGTTTGTTAAAATTTAAAGTTATAGTGACAGGTGACTAGCTTGTTAATGACACAAATATTAGTGACCTTATTTTAATTGGCTTGAACAAAAGAGGAAACCAATATTTATTTTGATTGAGTGCTCCTAGATGGACTCTTTTAAGAATGGCAAATAGAGGAATTTCATATTTTTTTTCAATTATCTAATGGGACGGGTTAGCATGCTAACCCCTTAAGGGGTTGGTTTTTTTACACCCCCTTTTAATTGGTCAATTTTTCATTAATTATTGACAAGTATTAATGAAAGTAAACATAATAAATGTTCTGTTATTAAATACAAAGTAAGCATTAAATACACCACATTAATTACCACTGCACTGATACTCAGATATGACATTGCTACCAGTGCACTGGTATATCTACCAGTACAGTGGTACAACGTATCAGTGCAGTGGTATATCTACCAGTACAGTGGTACAACGTATCAGTGCAGTGGTATATCTACCAGTACAGTGGTACACCGTATCAATGCAGTGGTATATTTTTTGGAGGTGGTCGGAGGGAGTCTGCCGATGGGATTTTCACCGGAGAAGTGTGGCAGTCGGAGGAAGTCTGGTGGTCGGAGACTGCTGAAAAAGGAAAATCAAATATAGTGAGAGAATTCCTAATGTGTGTATTTAATTCCTAATGTGTATTTAATAGTGAGAGAATTCCTAATTAATATGGTACATTTAATTCCTAATGTGTATTTAATGTGTGTATTAATTATTGTTTATTAATTATAGTTGTATTTAATATACTAGGGGTATCATTTTTCCAACTCCTAAAGGGTTAGCATGCTAACCGACCCCTTATGTAATGCTCTGCTGAGTGTAAGTGTGTAACACTTACCTCTTCTTCAATTTTCTATTTCAAGCATTGTAAAAAATCTATTTGAAGTGGGGATTCAGTGTAAATCAACCCACCGCCAGAAATAAAATGTTCCTTGGCATGTTCTTCATTAAATAGTAACTATTTCATGGACATTTCCCCTCCACGAATGCTGCCAATATTACTTGGAAATAAGAATTAGTTTTCAGTTTCTTATCCTTGTTCTATGGGATTTAGAAGGGTCCTGGTAGGTGGATTACAATGATAATTTTCCTTCCAACAATATTACTGACACACTTATTATCACTTAATCAGATCCTACAATTTCATTTGATTGAGTAGTTAGAGTTTGAAATGAGTTTGGTTCGTTATTATCAATACCGAAAAATCATAATGCTTTTCGATAATGATTTTTATATAATTTGATTAAGATTATTATCAGAAAAATAATTTTAAACAACAAATCGATTCCCAACATTTTTCTCCGTTTGAAACCACATAGAGAGGATTTTTCAAAAGAATCTGTAAATTGAAGCTCAATTTGAATTTAGCGAGTAGAACCAATTCACGGAAAGGGTGTGAATGAAACTATTGAGGAAAAAGGGAAGAGGGAGAAATAATCAGAAATCGTGATGATGAATGGAGAAAGAAGGACAAGTAAGATGCAGACTTTGCCATTTCAGTAACCCTCCAACTCCCTTTTCTTCCTACCACTTTTGTCCATGAACAACAACATAAGCTTACTCTTTTAGGTCTAACTAGGACGCAAGTCCGCGGGCCTATTGATTTCTGGTTATAAACTGAATCTAGAGTATTCAAATAATATGTTCTTTAGTACCCGGTAATCGAAATTAAGGTACAATGAAGAAAAAAATTTACGCTCTGTTTGGCAACAAGGAGGGTGCAAATTGCAGGAGGGTGCAAGTTGAGAGGTAAATTGCTGGGGGGTGCAAATTGCTGGGGTGTAAGTGGAGGGGTAAATTGTTGTTTGGATGAAAAAGTAGGGGGTGCAAATAGAGTGAAAAGTAAGTAATTATATTATTTTAAAATTTTAAAATATATTTTAAGATTATAAAATAGATTTTAAAATTATAAAATATTATCATAAAATAATAAAATAAATATTACTATATCATAATAAATATACTTTACTAAAATAGTTATTATATAATAATGCTCAAATAATAATTAATTATGAAAATTGTAATAATCATTGATCGAGCGATCTCAAAACTCGAAGCTCAACTCGTAACTGGTCATCCTATATAGGGTTTTCGTGTCTAGTTTAATCTTAAATTGTCAAACTTAGTCAAACACATTCGAATTTGTAAGTTTTAACTATTTAGTCAAATAAACTGAGTTAACCAAACAATTTCTCTCTATCTTTTCCACAAACACCTCGTATCTCTAATTTTCAATGCAAATTCGATTCAACCAAGAGATCTAGATTTGACTTGACGAACATTGATAAACTTGTTTCCAGAGTCAAATGGTCAACCCCGAATAATGTTTACATTAATGATATTTATAAAAAGAAAAAATTGATAATATTAATTACTATATAATTATATATAACACAATTAGAAAAACAAAATTCCATAATTCCCCCCTCCCCCTCTCTTCCTTCCTTCCCTTGCACCCCAATTCGGGGGTAAGCCGAAACAGTAAATTTGCACTCCCGTTTTGCACCCCCTACTGTTCCAAATTAACCAAACAGGTGCAAATGTGTTGGAAACTGTGTTTACCCCTCACATTTGCACCCTCCTCCCATTTACCCCTCTTCCCAAACAGAGTGTTAAGAATAGAATATCGAGTTATAGTTCGATTATTGTAGACAAAAAAATAAAAATCACCTCTCATCTATTTTGTTATTGGAGCTTTTCCGCTTTTCCTCTTTTTTTTTTGGTTCAGTGGTCTTGCATAGAAAGAAGAGATGGGTAGATGGGAGAGAGAGGGATGAGTGGTGGAAAGAGATGAGAAAATTAAATGAAAATTAAAATAAATCTAAACTAACCAAAACGAGTCCACATAATTACCCCTAATGACACAAAAACTCCTTCTTTTTTTGGTTAACTACAAAAAGATCACTTCTTGTGATGTGACTCTACAAGACAATGTTTTAGAACTCTTTCTAATCAGTTTGATAAAACGGTGAGTTTCTAACAAAATCCACACGTGGCCCAATCTCTTGATCACAAAAACGTGTACAACTCATCCACGACCCAAAATTCATCAACATTGGATTCAACTCGATAGAGCATAGCAAATTTGTAACAAAATCCACACCCGACCCAACTCATTAATTACAAAAGTGAATAAAATTTATCCCAAACCCAAAATGCGGCAACACCTGTACCAAGTCGAATTAACTTGAACAAACACGAATTTGGGTTCAATTAAATTGTCATAAGACGTGAGTTCGGTTTGGGTACAATCCCAAAGCGACTAAAATTTTGTGAAAACTGGATTCAACTTACTATGTCCGGTTTTATAAAACGGAGAGTGAGCTTTTAACAAAATCCACATGCAACCCAATTCGTTGATTACAAAAGCGATAAAACTCGTCCTCGACCCAAAATTCATAAATACTGGATTCAACTCGATAAAGTCGGCCGAGTTTGTAACAACTATCCCCACAACTTGTTAATTACAAAAGCGGATAAAATTTGTTCTCCATTCAAAACTCGACCAAACCGGTATCGGGTCAAATTAGGTTGAACACACATGAATTTAGTTTCAACCGGTGTGATACAGCGGGCGAGTTTCTAACAAAATCCACACGCGACCCAATTCGTCGATCACAAAAGCGGGTAAAATGTGTTTTCGACCTAATTCGATGATTACAAAGGTGGATAAAATTCATTTACGCCTCCAAAAGTTTAAAGGGTAAAACTCGCCCTTGACCCAAAATGCGTCAACATTGAGGTTAACTCGATAAAGAAGGATTTTGGGTTCAACTGTCATAAGAGGCGAGTTCAATTTGGGTTCAATCCCAAAGCGATCCAAAAAAATTTAATACACATGAATTAACTTGAACCCACATGAATTTATCTAGCCAGTTTGATAAAGCAAGGCTAGTTTCTAACAAAATCCACAAGCAACCCAATCCGTCGATCAGAA